TCTAAGTCAGGAGGCTTCTCGTAAAGGGAAGTGGGGAGGGGCTTGGTGCTGGAGTGGAAGAGGAGGCTGGCGACTATTTTATGCTGGTGCTTATTGTGGGCACAGTGGTGCTGGCCATGTCCAAAATTCATCACAGTTAAGTGTCATTAAGTGCATTCACAGTGTTGTGTAACCATTACCACTGTTCATCCCCAAAACTTTTTTATCTTCCCAAACTGAAACTCTATACCTATTAAACAGTAATTCTCAATTCCCCTCTTCTCCCGTCTTTTGTAACCATTATTCTACTATTTGTCTGTGAATTTGACTATTCTAGGTATCTCATATAAGTGAAACCATACAATATTTGTCTTTTGTGTCTGGCTTATTTCACTAGCATAATGTCTTTAAGATTCATCCATATTGTACCATGTATCAGAATGTCCTTCCTTTTAATGCCTGACTAATATTCCAGTGTATGGATATACTACATCTTGTTTATCCATTCCTCTGTCAGTGAACACATGTTGCTTCCACCTTTTGGCTATGGCAAATAATGCTGCTATGAACATGGGTGTACAAACATCTGTTCAAGATCTTGCTTTCAATTCTTTTGGGTATATATCCAGAAGTGGAATTGTTGGACCATCTGTTAATCCCATGTTTAAGTATTTTGAAGAACTACCATACCATTTTCCATAGTGGCTGCACCGTTTTACATTTCCACCATCAACACACAAGGGTTTCAATTTCTTCACATACTCACCAATATTTGTTTTCTGTTGTTATTGTTCTTTCATTTTATAATAGCCATCCTAATGGGTGTGAAGTGATATCTCAATGTGGTTTTGATTCGAATTTCCCTAATGAGTGGAGATGAACATTGTTATCTTTTATAAATCCATTTTGTCCAGTTTAATTATTTTTACTTTGAAATTATCCTTGTCTTATTGTAACATCATGGTCCCAGATTTCTTTTTCATATTATTTACTTAGCATACCTTACTCCATCTCTTTATTTTTTACCTTCAAGCGTCCTTTGGTTTTAGGTCTGTGCTTGTAAACTCTAAGGTATGATATTTTTAAAATCAACAATAATTGAGCATATGTTATTTGGTGTGGACAGCACCAGTCACTGAGAATGGTTGTGAAGACAGGAATTGTAGGTAATGCTGGGAAGACAGAATTTATTTTATGATTTAAATGAGCCATTTCAAAAGAAGTAAAGAGTGTGAAGAAAAGGGAA